TAACTCTCTGGGTCAGAACTGATTTAGATTTATTTTCACAGTAAAAGTAATAGCATTTAACTGGTAATTTGTTCCAGCTTTTAGAACATCTGCTGATGTGTGGTGGGAGACCTCAAATTCAACACACTCATTTTTAGTTAATGTCAAATAAGCACTAATCTGTCATTATTATATTATTCTTTCTTCTCTAGAACGGGCATCAATTTGTTATATCTATCAAGAAAGTGAAAAAGAGCAGTATTCTTTTGTTTTTGTTTTTACATTCTCAATAAACTAGGAAATCTTGGGCTTTGGGTCCTTGGATTCCCCTCTTTTCAGAATTTTTTTAGTATTACAACTTGCCCAATTAAGTCTGAATGAGCTGCTTTTAAAAATTATATTTCATCATTAGAATGTTAGAAGGAATTAAATAATTAGAAAGTGAATAAACCGACACAGTTCGGAGTAAAAGAGAGAAGAGCTGAATGTGCTGTTGGATTGGCTAGGGCTTCCAATAGGAATGCAAGGTGGGCCACATAAAGGACTTCAGATTATCTACTGGCCACATTGAAAATGTAAAGAGATGAAGCTGATTTAAATAATATAGTGTGCTGGGGCATGGTGGCACAGGCCTGTTATCCCAGCGGCTCAGGAGGCTGACGGGAGGATCATGAGTTCAAAGCCAGCCTGAGTAAAAGCGAGGTGCTAAACAACTCAGTGAGACCTTGTTTCTAAATAAAATACAAAATAGGGTTGGGGATCTGGCTCAGTGGTCGGGTGCCCCTGAGTTCAATCCCTGGTACTCCTAGCCCCCCAATAGTTTATTTAACTCAATATATTTATAATATTGTAATTTTTACATAGAATCCATATAAAAACTTTTGAGATATTTTCCATTGTTTTTGTGCTGTGTTCAAAATTTGATGTGTTTTTTCCACATTAAGCAATTCAGACTAGCTACATCTCAAGTCCCAAAGAGATGATAGTGACCCTTACACTGGACTAGGGATCTTTATCAGCTCCCCTTGGTGGGGATCTCACTGGCTTTGCACTGAAATGCAGAGGCTAGATCTTCCTGTGGAGAGCTAGGTTCTGCTTTGTGTATTTTAGTAGTTGGTTTCCTTTTAAAAAAGCTTTAGATTTCATTTCCTCTTTGCCCAGCCTACTTGGAATAATATCCTAAAAGCTGATACTGGGTTAAAGGGGTTAGGGGAAGCTGGATTGTGTTGAGGGATCAAAGCCAGGCTCCCTAAATGGATGCTTCTTTATTTAGACCTGATGTTGCTTTTTCATGTGGGAGGTCCTCCAGCTGGTCTACTACAAAAAAAAAAAAAAAAAAAAGAAAGAAAAGTTTATAATGAACAAAGTCTATACTTTTGATTTCTAGTCTGAGAAGAAAAATTCACTTTAGTTAGTTAATAAATAATATATTCTCACACTTCATTCTTTATTTTTTTAAATTTGTTTTAATGTTACACATGACAGTACAATGATCTTGACATATCATACATTTGAATCCAATGGGGTATAATTTCTCATTATTCTGAGTCACACTTCATTCTTTAAAACCAGCATTCTTTTCCCACATAAAGTCGCACATTAGTGGCAGCAACCATGGTGTAGAAGGTAGGCTCGTTCCTTTGAGGGAGTGGCCAACATCATGGTCTAACAGCGAGTCAAACCACAGAATTTTTGCTGTATCCAGAGTTCAGGAAAGTTGGGAACCCCTTAAACCCCTAACTCTCCTGCTTCACTTCTCTTTCTTAACTTTAAACTAGCCAGGAGCTTTAAGCCTTACTTCATTTACCCACCTTCCCAACAGGTGCAGGACACCTGTCCCAAAGACTTAGTTGCTCTTGGGTACTTCTTGCCTTTGCCTAATCACCATGAAAGACAGCTGAGCTGTAGGTAAATGAGTCCTCTGCCCAAAGCTGGAAGAACTAGGTATGCCATGTCTTTACTAGGTGACTCTGCACAAGTTACTTGAACTTTCTAAGCTTTTGTTTCTGCATTTATGGAGTGGCAGTGATGGTGTTTTATCTCACAGGGCTGTTGGAAAGATTAATTGAAGTCATGTGTGTGAAAGCACTTCGGAATCTGTGAAACTTTGTACACACTTCAGTTCTTAATAGTATTCTGGCGAGATTCCAAGGTGCATTCCTGATGAATTCCCTGGCCATTTGAACTCTTCTTGAAGTTTGTGGGGGCTCTTAACTCCATCCTATCCTGATTCTTAGCTCTGCCAGACTTGTTCACCTCTTTTCTAGTTGGCTCCACAATTCTGGCCAGGTGGACAGTGGGTCACATGATCATACAGCTAGTCACACTGAGGGCTAGGGAAGACCTCAAATCCAAGCTGGCTGACATAAAATTTTTTTTTCTACCTGGAAATGGAAATTGGAATCAAGGAAATTAATTAATTGTTTGAATTTGAATAGTTTAGAATACTAGTTCTTAAAATGTGATTCCATGAACCCCTTGGAATCTCTGAGACTCTGTCATGGGATTCTGAAAATCAAACCATTTTCATAATAATTCTAAGAGTATATTTGCCTTTTTTTAAAAAAAATTGTGCTTTTGAACTGATGGTACAGCAGCAATGACGGGTAATATTGCTGGCATTTTTGGATGAATCAAGGCAGTTGCATGTATGATATTCCTTATATTTTTCATTATCATGCACTCACAGTGGGAAAAAAAGCCAGTTTCACTTAAGACTCATGATGAAGCAGCAAAAAATATTAATTTTTATTAGATCTTGACGCTTGAGTACCTTTCTAATAATTTTTTTTTTTTTGCAATGAATTGGAAGAATTCAGGCAGCACATCTGCTAAATACTGAAGGCAGTTGTTTGAGGTAAAACACATGATTATTGGAGTTGTAAACTAAACAAAAGTTTACCATTATTACTTGAAAGAACAAATTATGGTTTCTCAGATCTTGCTACTTGACAGGTAATTTTTTTGAAAATGAGTAATTTATTCTGTCACTTCAGGGAAAACAACTAAGGGCACTTTTGTCAATGAAAAAGTTTGTATTTCCACATGAAAACTAGAATTTTTTTGACAGTGCTGGGAATCAAATGCAGGATGTCATGCTTGCCTGGCAAGCACTCCACCACTGAACCACACCCAGCCCTGAAAACTAGAATTTTGAAAAGCTTGTATCTGTTACTGTGAGCGTGATAGCTTTGCAGTATTTAATGACATTTCTGATGGAATCAGTGGTGATATGAACAAGTGTGATTTAAAAATATATTTGTGTGAAATATGTCAACACTAGGAAAATATGATGCATAACTCACAGAACCAATATTTTTCAAATGACAAATGCACAGGTAAAAGATCCATTTGAAGTGTGAGATAGCTTAATGGATTTTGATTTAACAGTAAGAAAAGTTTATTTATATGATTTCAGATACCATTTTGCAATTAAGCTTTAAGAAACTACCCCTTGTTGGGAGCAGTGGCACACGCCTGTAACACCAGCAGCTGAGGAGTCTGAGGCAGGAAAAACGTTGAGTTCAAAGCCAGCCTCAGCAACTTAGCAAGACTCTTAGCAACTCAGTGAAACCCTGTCTCTAAATAAAATACCAAAAAGGGTTGGGGATGTGGCTCAGTGGTTAAATGTCCCTGAGTTTAATCCCTGATACTTAAAAATCAAACAAACTTGCATTCCACTATTGTCATGTATTTTTAAAAAAATCAATCAAACAAAGAAACCAAAACTACTCCTTGTTGAGTTTTGGTATTGTATCAAAGATTATCCACAATTATCTGAAAAGTCTATCAAAATAATGTGTCATTTTAAAGCTACATGTCTCTGTGAGACTGGATTTTCTTCATATAGTTGAACCAAAAAAGAAATTACAACATATTGATTGCTGACGCAGATGTAGGATGTCAACTGTCTTCTATTAAACAAACCATTAAAAGGATTTGCAAAAATATCAAAAATACATTGTCACTGCAATTTTTGTTTTTGCTTTTGGAAAAACAAAAGAAATAAGATTTGGGCAGCTATGTTTGGTTCATGCATGTACAAATGAGTAGAGAAAGATAATATTTGGAGAGAGAGAAAGAAGAGACAGAAGTGCAGAGAGATGCAGAGATGAGAGACTGAAGGGAAAGAAGGAAATGAGACAATGTCTTGGTTCCTGATGACCTCTGTATCTTTCTATACCCAATTCTTGTCTCTCTGAAGACCTGGTCATGATGCCCAATTTAGAGTTCTAGGAGATTTCTATGTATTCTTCCAATCATCCCTGCCTTTTCTATTTAGGCTTATTTAAAACGGGCTTATTTTTTTTTTTTTTTATGTGGTTGTCCTAAGCCTCAGTCCTTTGACTCATGCTCAAGAGATAAATCCTTTTAACATTTTTTATAAATCAACATAATTTTGTCTTTGGACTTACATTCCGCTGGGTTGGTGAGTCTTTCTTGGGGCTTCCCTGATCATTTCCATGTTGAGGGGTTCAGTCTGAAGAAGGTGCTTCCATGAACTCTCTGACAGGTCAGAGAGACACTTTGTCAGGAGCAGCCTGGAATGGTAGCTTCTCCCCAGCCATCCCAAGGAAGGGCACGCTAGTGGCTTCTTCTCAGTCTTAATGAGGCTCGTTTTGATCATGTAAAGAAAACCAACCAAAACATTCAGATCAAAAATTCCCATTTGGGTTTCTTGAGATAATGATAAAGGAGATGGAGTTTTTTGGATTCTGATTCCACAGTAGTCAGAAAAGGGAGAAAGAGTGCAATAGCCCAGGGGCAATTACTGCCCACCACACCTTGCATTTGCAAAAATTGATTTGTAGGGCTTCCTTTTTCCTGAGAAAGTTTGTGTTCCCACCAGCCTTCCCTTCATTGTGCCCCTGGCAGTGGCAGTGGAAGAGTTTTCAAGAGTTTTGATGGCTCAGAGAAAGGGGGACACCACTGTTTGAGGACCCCCTTGTTTGGTCTACATACTTCTTTATAGTTTGATCAATCCTTCCACAGCTGCCCCTTCTCTCTTTATATTTTTTCAGATATCCTCACCTCCAATGGCCCTCATCCTTGTGTGCCTGGATCTGACTGGCCTCATTCCCTCATGAGTCATTCTGCCTACAAATCCTCAGGTGAATCCTCCAGAGATGCAATGTTCAGCATGGTGTACCATTCCTTTAGCATTTAGCACATTTAGCTCCTTTTCAAAAGTCACCTTTTTAAGTGAATGGCTTCTCTTCCTTTGAAAGTACTATTTTCTATTTCTGTGTATCCCCAGTGTCCAGTATGACACATAGTATTTGCTGTCATTGCTACTTTAATGGGAACATGGAAGGGATTTGGGGTGGTTATAGGTGATTCATTCAATAACTTCCTTAATACTGCTGTTTGCCACGCTCTGCTGGGTACTGGGGTCTCCATGAGGAATCAGCTATATCCCCCATGTGCTAATGATTATGCAGTATAGTAAGTGCTAGAATAGCTCCACGGTAGAGGTCCTGTCTCCTCTGTTCAGTTGTCTCTGAAACCTCAAGCTAGTTTGGAATCCTTCCTTTCTTCTCTCCCAGTCCTCTCAGTATTTGTCCATTAGTACACTTAGCAGGCAATGTATAGTTTCTAATTTTAGTACTTTTTTGTGGAAATATCCAAACATATATAAAAATGGAGAGAACCATCTCCTTCATTTCAATAATTATCAATATTGCCTTTCTGGTTTTGTCTAGCTTCCCAATTATTTTTTCCTGATAGAGAAATTTAAGGCAATCAGATATTATATCATTTCATTCATTAATACTTCTGTATATATCTCTAATTGATAAGTATTTTTTGAATAACATATTTGCAAAATTATTATCAAAATTATAATAAATAATAAAATTAATATAATTTACAAATGTCATATAATACCTGCTTTGAGTTCATTTTTTATCCAATTGTCCTTAAAATATCTATTTATAATTTTTCCTCTAAATTAGGTCCATAGTTGTATTTGGTTGATGCATTTCCAAGGCTTTTTTTCTTTTTAATCAATTGACAGTTTCCCTTACCTATGTCCCTGCTGCCATATATTTATTGAAGAAGACAGCTATATTGTTCTCTTTCCACAGTCTGGTTTTGCATGATTCCACCTCTGTGGCATTCATGCCGTGTTCCTCTAGCCCCCATATTCCTGCAAGCTGACAGGTCTGGAGGCTTGATTAGTTAGGTTTTATTTTTCTGTCAAGAACGTGTCATGATTGCATAGCTTCAACGCTACCATACCAGGAGGCACCAAGTGTTGTATTTTGCTATCCTCTTGTGGTCTATTTTCTTGCCTTTCCTGTCTGACTTGCTTGAATTTCTTACCCTTGATGGTAGAAGTTCATTTCTGAGTCTCAGTTTATCTATAAAGCAATAATAACACTTACCTCAGAGTCTGTCTTGAGGACTGTATACATAAAGCCTCTAATGTGAACTGGTACATCTTAGAGACTAATGCATGTTAATTCTCTGCCTTCTCTCCTTCAAACATTTATTTATTTTATTTGTTTTTTATTTTGATTGTTGCAGCACGGGAGACTCAACTCAGGATCTTGAGGCTTGAACCTCTTACCTTTGAGGGGGGAGTCTCTGGATTGTTCTAGACCCCACAGTGCCTTTTCCCTACTCATTTCTCAGTAGGTGAGTAGCTCTACCCGAGGGGCTGGGGGAGGCCTCCTGAGGAGTTGAGATGCACAGGCAAGTGATGGGAAGACATCACAAGAAGCTGGCATGGGTGAGTTCAGGAATCTGCCTGACTCTCATGGGTGTGGCCATGCTTAGGGATAGAGAAGGTACCAGTAATGATGCAGTGGCATTCACTGTAGCCCTGGTGATTATGTGGGCAGAAAGCATATCTCATAAATGAATGCCAAGGCCATGCTTCTATTGTCTTTGGGTGATTTCCAGCCCCATTAGGGAATAGCCAATGAGTTAGCCCCTGGAGCAGCAGGCAAGGGTTGCAGGGAAGCAGGGTTAGTAGCATCCAGGAGGCTGGGGTGGCTCCTCTCAGAGGTATCGATAACTCCATTCATTTTCTTATTATTGGAAAAAGAAGCACAGGGACTTTGCAGACGGACAGTTCTAGACTTAAGTATAGCTCTGATTCTGACTCTCCATAACCTGGGGCAAGGCACCTAACACTTTTGAATGTTGGGTTTCTTTATCTGTAAAACAATAATTGGAACACCTCAGAGGCTATTTTTTGAGGTTTATATGCTTTGAGTATCTAATATGGTAATAGTACAGTTTAGAAACTAATGCATGCTAATTCTCTACCTCTTTCCATTTATTTATTTAATTTAGCTATATATCTATTTATTTATTTTTTTGCAGTGTGGGGAATTGAATACTAAAGAATACTTGAATTGAATATCTTGCGAATACTAAAGAAGTGCTCTGCCACTGAGCTGCGCTCCCAGCTACAAACATTTGGAGGGGTTAGGGCCTACCAGGCGTTGTGCCAGACAGAAGGGGAAAATGGTGAATCCAACATACACCGATTATGTCCTCTAGGAGCCTACAGCCCAATAATGGAGGTTCTACAGTAAGTGTGCAGATGGTTACAACACCAGATAAAGAGCACAAGATGCCACGAGAGAGGAGACCCAAAGGTGCAGAGGATAGCAAGATCTGAGCTATGTGTTTCTGTGTGGGATTGATCTTGCCCATAGTTGGCAGCACCCCTTCCCAGATTAAAGCGTGCTCTGCTCCTCCTGTTAAGGCATTTTGGAATTTCTTATTTGGACTTAAAAGAAAAGAAAAGAAACAGAAGAGACTTTGTTGTTTCTGTGTGGCAGGGGTTGTTCTATCAAAGTTACCCTTCATCCCTGCTGTCGAGGTGTGCACACTCCTTGCTCCCCCATCTTCACTGGAAAGTCAAATCCTCTCAGGGGCCAGCTGGGTCCAAGTTCAGGAGAACTAGCTTTTTGGATCAGTGATGATGATCTGACTTCTTTCATCTGCGGTACCACAGAGCTTGGCTGGGAGACTCAGTGTAAATCAAAGATGGAGCCTGAGAATAATTGGGAAGACACCCCCACCCACCCGACCCACCCCGCTGTCACTCTCTGTCACACACTGGCAGTCAGAGCAGCACATGCTGCCCTTGCAGGGTCCCGAGGCACCACAAGCAGCATTTTCCCTATAGGAGGACTTGTCTCCAGGCGGCATTACAGCCTCCTCTTCTGGCACCAGGGAGACTGTTACTTCCGTCAGGATTTCTGGCACCCTATATGGTGTCGGGGGTGAGACCAACCACACTTCCCTCCCTGCACAAGGTGGGCCTTCCCGGCAGCCCCTTGGAGAGAATACACACAACCGAGCGCCCTGGAGGGTGCTCAAGAAGGGAAGGGCGCCCTGCCAGAAGGCCAGATTTCTTTTTTGTGAAACATAACTCAGTGCTCCATCTCTACTGCCTACATTATGCTCACACTTTGTCAATCTGACAGTCTGTGGGCTTGGGCTGTATTTGCAGCTTTATTAGGCATTGCAGCAACTGAGCAGACTTTTCTTTTCCTTTTCCTTTTTATTTTTTTTCGGAAACCCCATTTTACCCTAGCTAGTATTAAAATTCTCAGGCTTTTCTTTAACACCCCCTGTCCCCCTACCGCCACTTTAAGTTATGGACTATGTAGTGACTGGAAAGACCAGAGAATAAATGGACAAGAAAATGAACTATTAACTAGTAACTATTACCCAAATCAACAGTAGACCATTTCTAGATCCCAGAACATATTCCTCCCCCACATACCCCTCCTGCATCACACCCCAACCTGCTCCTTGATGTTAATGTGATAGCTTCCTTGCTTTCTCTTTATGCTTTTGCTACCTATCTTTTCATTAGAAACACTACCATTTAGTCTTTCATGTTTTGGTATTTATATACAGCAAACATCATTTCACTACTGGGTTCTCTCATTATTATGTGCGTCAGATGCCTCATGTGGTTACATGGAGCTGTAGCTTGTCTGTTTTCACGGATATATAGTATTTCATTGTTAGACCACCCAGCCATGTATTTATTCTGTTCTTGTGGGATATTTGAACTCTTTCTTGTTTTTGGCTCCTATTCAAAATATTGTAGAAAACTTTTAGTGCACTAGCTCTTTTCAAAAGGAAAGCGTTGGTTCCATTTTATGAAGCGGGAACCTGAGCCTTTTGGTAATGCTGAGAGGCAGGGAGTTAACTGTGATCCAGGATGGTGCTTCAGCCTATTTTCTGTTCGTCACTGGGTGGGTGGATGCAGCTGGAGGTCACTTTGATTAGAATTCTCCCTAAAAACCAAGGCAGAAAGAGGCAAGAGCTTTCTGGGCAGGATAAAGGGAACAACTTGAAAGGATGCTGTACTGGAGATCAAAGAGCCCTTCATGCTGCCAGCTTTTGATGTTAGTGTAACCGCACACCCTGCAGTAATTAATTAACTTATCTTCAGAACTTGCTGCATGTCTCCACCTACTACCTCCTAATCAGCAATGCTGTACTCAAGGCCGACACCGCCATCATTATCAAGTTCTGGGACTTGCAGTGAGGGTCTCTTCTGCCTCTGTGGGCACTCAGTGCTGCTGGAATAGCCCCGGGGAAGAGCTTTGAAGCCCACTTACAGAGATACAAAACCAGAGAAAGCTGGAACTGCAAGTCTTCTTAGAGATCCTAGTAGGCAGAACTTTGGGAGTTTATGGATATGTTGGGAAAAGTGGAGTCTTAACAGAAAACAATAAGTAGTGTTTGTCTCCATTCCATGTAGTTGGTATCCAGGGAATGTTCAAGAAGGACCTTCATTTTTCTCCTGTTGACATTTCCTTTTGACTTCCTAAACCCCAAGCCTCTTGTTTCAGAACTATTCTATTCTTCTAGCTTTGAGGAATAATTATACAGATCCTTCTAATGAGCCTTTAACAAATGTACCTATTCAGCCCTCAAGGTAACAAGAGGAGAACATAGGATTGAGAAGTAGGAAAAAGGAAATGTGGAAAAAAGGGGTGTCAGGATAGGTAAAATTGTAGTGACAGGTGAGAGGAGCGGCATCAGATGGGAAGGGGCATGAGGAAATGTTTTAGGGGAGCCAGATTATTTTAAATCTTGATCTCAGTGGTGGTGACGTGTTATTTCATCAAGCTGTGCACTTACATTGGTGCACTTTATTGAGTGTAAGTTATATATTTAAAAGCAGCAGCAGCAGCAGCAGCAGCAGCAGCAGCAGCAGCTGCCGCCACCTCCTATCTGGAAGTTTCTGTTTACACTGGCCATCTGTGCTTTTACCCCTAACTTCCTATTTTTACTGCAAGTGTCATACATTACATTTCCATGTGAGATCAGCCTCTCAATATGACATTATAATTTTTATTTCAAAGAAGATAAGAGAAAAAAAGATTGTTTCTTTTGTTTATCCACATATTTACCAGTTGTGAAGATCCTTTTGGGAGATTCAAGTTTCCATCTGCTATCATTTCCCTTTAAGCCCGAAAAACTTTCTTAAACATTTCTTGTAGTACTGATGACAAATGTTCTTAGTTTTCGTTTATATAAAAATGTCTTCATTCTGTCTTCAGTCTGGGAGGATATTTTCACTAGATATACAATCCTAGTTCTGAGTTTTTAAAATTTTCTTTCAGCACTTTATAAATATTGTTCCATTCCCTTCTGACCTTCCTTTTTTTTTCCCTGATGAGAAGTCAGTTATCATCTGTAACTTTCTTTTCTTGTTTTCATGGGTGGTTTTACTCTGATGTTGTCAAGATTTTTTTTTTTTTGCCTTAGAATTTTAGCTAAAATGTACATAGGTATAATTTTTTTTAAAAAAAATTTATCCTGTTTAGGCATCATTAAGATTCCTGCATCTGGATTCCACCTCTTGGGTCCCCTTCTTCCTCCGGGAGAAGTCTTTTCTGCTGTCCTTTAATAAACTTCTAATTTCTACTCTGAAAAAAAAAAAAAAAAGATTCCTGCATCTGTAAATATATGTCCTTTACCAAATATCTTGTTCATTATTTCTTCAAAAGATTTTTTTTTTTTAATGATCCATACTTTCTCTTTTCTCTTGTTCTGGGACTATAATTGCATCTTTTCCCCCCCATATTTTTTCACAAGTTCCTTTAAGTTTATTTTTACATTTTTTTTCTGTCTTTAGATTGGCTAATTCTCTTGACCCATGTTTATATTAGCTGACTATTTTTTGCCATTTCCAATTGTTTAAGCCCATGAGCAAATTTTTATTTCAAATATTATATCTTTTAATTCTAGTATTTCTGCTTGTTTTTAAAAATACTTTCTATATTTTGACTTTTTTCCTTTGTTCATTCATCACATTCCTTTATATATTTGAACATAATTGAAAGAGCTGTTTCAAAACACACTTATTAATTTCAACATATGAGTCATCTTAGGGTTGGTCTCCATTGGTTGTAATTTCTTCTGTTTCTCTTTACATCTAATATTTTGAATTGTGTAAGGCATATTTTGAATGATACATTACAGAGACTCTGGATTCTGTTATGTTACTCTGAAGAGTATTGCTTTTTTTTTTTAAGCAGGCTGAACTCAAATTCTGAACTCTCTTTCTCCT